CTTTCGCTTTTGTTGAACATATTTGCAAAACAGTAATCATTTTGTATGAATTAAACATGTGTTCATTGTTAACCCAGTTACAGAGTAATGTTACAAACATTTGTTTGTATAGCGACGGAATGCAACATTTCAAAATTTCTAATTTCTTTAGGTGTTCCGCAAGGTCGTATTTTGGGTCAAACTCATTTTATAAGTCAGCAAATATTGGGATTGTGAATGTGGCAAATTGTTAATGAAACATTTTTAATGCATGTACCATTATTCGAAATATGTATAGGGGTGTTAAAAGTTTTAATTTTAACTCTATTTCTATTTAAATCTTTGACCCTATGCCTTGATATCACTCTAATTTTCAACTTTATTTAATTTACTATCATATCCTAGCTAAATTAATTACAGATCAGCATAATCGAACATCTAGTTGTAGTAGTTATTGGGAAAGGTTTTCTGACGCCATACTGTGACGTTTTACAGTGCACGTGGGTGTGACTGTGTATTGTTGATGAATAATGACTCCTTATCAACACCTGTTAGACATTCGTGCCCAATCTACTTCCGCGGTTGGGACATGTTTAATTGCCTGCATGCTTACATTCATTGTATTATCAATATCGACCTTCCCACGACATATTCTCTATCAAAGGAGGTGACAGTTTTAAATTGCAAGCAGATATTGCTCAGTTGCCAGCTATATTTGGTCATTATTTTTTTTATTTATTTTTTTGTTTCATTAAGTTATAGTCGTGTAACAAGGAGGATGTTGTTTAGAAAAAAAAACTTATCTTTTTCTATTTCAATGTCTTATTAACTACATATTTAATTAGATTTATCATCGTTATCTTGTTGTTTTAGTTTTCATTTTCTTATTTTGTTGTTAATTACTCGAAGATGCGTGATTATATGAATAAAAAAATATTTCGGTGCTACACTAGACTTAGCAAAGAGGAAAATTCTTGTCCAATTATCCAATTGGACAAGGATGAAGAAGGATTAATTATCAAAATAAAATATATCCTCACTTCTATGTAGTTCCCATGAGTTAAGTGATTTGAAAGGTTTTTTTAATTCGTAGTAGGCAAGCATTTGGCCGCTACCGCCTGGTGGTAAGTGATGATGGGACCTACGATAGAGCCTGCCTAATGAGAAGCAACCAATTCACTCGGGCCTAGAAGACACCGTGGTCAGGTGAGAACAGAAATCTTCCTAAAGAGTGATTTAGTTTGGATTAGCTTTACTTAACTTAGTTTTGCTACAATTAATTTTTATTTGAAGGCTTTTAAATCAGGATTTATTATGCCAAAATCTATATATATATAAAAGAAAGTCGTGTTAGTTACACCACTTATAACTCAAGAACGGCAGAACCGATTTAGCTGAAAATTTGCAGGGAGGTAGTTTAGAGCCAGGAGAAGGACATAGGATAGGATAGAGTAGGTAGAGTAGGGTAGGTAAAGTAGGGTAGGGTAGGTAGGGTAGGTAGAGTAGGCTAGGTAGTCAAATGATGGGAGCGACGCCGCGGGTAAGAGCTAGTTAAAAATAATTTGAACACTCATTCTATCGTATGACGTATGTGCATGAAACACTTCATCTTAATGAACTTAGTTATATGTATGTATGTGTATCAACCACGTGAATACATTTTCGTGTGGCTAGGGCTACTAAAAAACCTTTTTGGTGATCGTATTTTATAAAATTTAGTATTATCTATATTTAGTAGGCCTAGATAGAAGATAAATTTCTCCACAGTGACATAAATTTTTAGAAATACGAGGTACTTATATTATTTAATGAAGAAAATGGTATGGGGACAACCCTGTCCCTAATATAACTGGACCTACCATAATAAATCTGGAGAAAGCAATTTTTTCTTTGGTCAATCGCCCAAGAGTAGGTATCCGTGATGATAAAACAAAAATGTACTTACTACCTAATTACTTAGCATTCGTCACCGCGTCACGGATTCCCAATTCGATACAGTTTTGTGAGAAACTTCAAGACAGAGTTTAAAAATAAACTTCGAATGTACTGCTAAATAATTACTTAATTTAACAACTAGAAACACTTTATCTTAACCATGTCTTCCTAAAGTACTAAGGTACACGTAAGGATTTATGAAAATACAGTGATTTTTTTCACTACAAATCTAGAGGGAATGAGTTTACCTTAGCCAAAAATCGACTTTTTTTAACAAATTTTACTATAATAAAATCAAATTACTCAACGAAATCAAATATCATTTATTTAGTGCTCGACAACCCTAATAAATGAAGATACGGACGCGCGCACGGTGTGCGCAACGAGACCATCTTCTGAACCAAATAATGCGTCAAATTCTGTTACGAAATACCATAGCCCGTGCATAATGGAGGAAAGTTAGGCCGCGTTTAATTGAACAATTACTATTTTCATTATTACGAAATATTTACACTTATATTTGTTTGTGGAAGACGCTTAAAACAATAAACGTTTTAATTGTATATTTTATAGAGTTGGTAAGCACAGATAATTGTGACTAGATTATTAATTCAATTATTCTCAGATTTGTACATAATGACAATGATACAGATTTTAATTTGTCACAAAAGCTTTATTTCCAGAAGAAGACATAAAAGAAGAATTATTAAAGGAAGCTGTAGCATTCCGTGAAGCAATGCGGTAATTTTTGTCTTTTTTTCGTAAACTTTAACAAAGTCTATTTGTAAGATTGAAAACATGGCCCTCCTTCCAAAGAAAAAATAATCTTATTCTCATTTAGGTTGTGTATACAGTATGGCTACAGTATGTCTGCGCAATGGATCTTTTAGGAACAAAATTGTGTACCTACTGCGCAGCTAATCGGCTAACTTCAGACTCGCCAAGATACGTCGGCGGTATTGTACTTTACCGTATAGAATAGAATTCGACTCATTCATTGGCTAGTCGCCGTGGTGGCATGGAGGAAGGTACCCACTTCTCATGCATGAGGGTTAGAAGCCTGACAAGTAGGTACCAATATGACTCTTTCCGAGTTACATTCAATTTCTACATATGATTATAAAGACACCACTAACATACGGTGTAGGAAAACATCATGAGGAAACCTGGACTTATAATTTCTAATTATAAGTTTGAAACCGCCAATCCGCCTTGAGCAAGCATGATGGTTCTCCGAGTGAGAAGAGGCTTTTGCTCAGCAGTAAGCACTTATAGGCACGATGATGAATCGCTACTTGCAATTGTTTGTCGAAACAAAATCCGTACTAAAGAAAAATTTGAGCATGTACCTATTTGAATTCAAATTCAGTATCGAATATTTTGTTTGAAAAAGCTACGTAGACTATTAAGATTTTTTGTGACACAATGACCACAGCCATAAACGTTTTTAATCCTTACAAGGTAGGCCAAATTAAAATGTAGTGTAGGCGTGTGTGGGATGGTAGTTGCTAATAGGTATTATTCGTATATCTATGAAATCTTTTTGGTGTTTTTGTAGCTAAAGTTTAAATAAAGTGAACAGGCATTTAAAATAACGGAGAGCAGAGAGGCTAGAGATCAGGCAACAGTTGATTACCCCAAAAACAGACGTTGTTTTCTTAACTTTAAACTATAAAATTAATGTTACTCTCGCGCGGTTTCACCCGCTGCTCGGCTCCGTTTAATCCTCCGTTTTATAGCCTATAGCACTCAGGAACATTGTAGTTATCTACCGGTGAAAGAATTTTGGCAATCCGACCAGCGGTTCCAAAGATAACCCCCTACATACAAACATACAAACTTACTTTTACCTCTTTATGACATTAAGTAGGTATAGATAGTATAGACTAGCTAGGAATAACAAGCACACATCCATCCATACATTCCTACAAACTTAAACATTGTATGTTAGTTGGATTTGGTACTCATAAGCAATTTATAAAAGGTCCAAAACGTAATTATCTCCATTAGTAAGTATTTTTTTAAAGCTATTAACCCTACAGAAAAGTGCCAAAAAGTGCTATTTCGCAGGTAATAGGATGTTTATTACCGAAGCAATGTAAAAGACCATTAGTAAGAGAAGATTTCAATCGACATTTTGCAAACGACTCTTTTAGATACCTCTTAATTATTGCAACGATATCGTTCATTAATTTATGTATTACGTATCCCTTTCGACATTTTAATTTCATAGTTTACATTTTACGCTTGATTATAAGTATAATTTTAATTTAAAGTATTTTCCTTTTTGAAATTAACGGCTTTAGAAGAACAAACGATTCGAAACAGATATGAAATACTCATTATTTGGAGCGTTTCAGATCTTGGAAGATTGTAAGAAAAAAATTACAATCGAACTAAATTAAAAATGTTTATACTATATATATACTAATCAACAGATCTGTATCGAGAATATGTAATCGGATAAAAAATATTGCCGTATATGTGACATCAATTTTTAACTTATTAGTCCCTTGTAATGAGAGGTAGCCTTTCCTAGTTACCCATGCATCAGTGGAATCTCCTAGGCTCAATTAATTGTATATTTTAAGTTTGTAACTTAAATTATATTATTAATTTTATAAAAAAGTTTTTACGGTTAAATTTAAATTACCTCTTCGCCAAACAAAACCTTCCTAAGGCTACCCACAGACCCCTTTTTGAAATGATAGAATGCGGATATTATGTATTTAGTTTTTTTTTATATTTATTTATAGTTAACATTTAAATTTATCTGTGTGTTTTTTTTATGGTCTGATATTAAGATATTTTGTAAAATTTGTCAACATATTCTGATGAAATATTTTTAAAATATATGCATTTTCTTAGCAGAACATCTAAGTAAAACTCAAAGAGACAAAGTCTAAAATATTTTTTTCATAATCCTAAATAGTTATATTTCAGTAAACTTTTTAATTTCAAATGCAAGTTACCTATATGATCTGAATTCCAACTCTTAAAAAAGATCGATCGAGAGTGATAAGTATTGCTATAATAATGCGAAGCAATAATTGGGGTAAATAAATAAAATAAAAGTAATCGCTTACTTTTCGACAGATGGTGCCTTTTTCTTGTTCACTTCACGAAATAAACACATCACAGTTTCTCACTACAACAAAACACTTAATCCTTTGACACATTACTCAAATGTAAAAAAAAATAACACAAAAAAGAAATTCCCGCGCGAATCAAGTTTCAAAACTGTTTTTAATTGCCGCGAAAATCTGTTAATCTTTATCGAAAATTTGACGCAAAGAGATAGGCAAATATTTTTTTATCTGCGTTCGAATTTTGAAATATTTTTAAGTGTGCCAGCCAGACGCATGCGGGCGCGGTTAATTGCGTAAGCGTAAGTCGCAATGCGTGTTTGCTGGTCGGCCGACTTGTAGAAACTGAAAGTGGAAGTGGACTCCAGACGCTCGTCTTGATGCAAGGGATGTGCGGTAATCCGCGACCGACGAAGCATCCGCATAATGTAAATACTTAGCCGCGGCGTCGCGCACTCGTTGTCGTTGCTCTTTGGTCTTTTGTTTGGCTTCAGTGAGAGTTTTTGACCGCAACTTACCATAACTTGCGTACCTAATTGCATAATGTAGGTATGACTCAGTGGCCATTGTTTACTAACTTATATATAGATACTGTTAGTTTATTTCTAAACAACTGACCGAACAACCTAAAAAAATAACAGGAAAATAAGTCAGATAAATATTATACTTAATGTATGTTAGTAGCTACTAGTAGAGGCATAAATAGCGAATCTTCTTAATCGATTGTTAAAATTTATTTTTATTCGTATATACTTACATTATTGTAACGAGTTACTTTCTTCTTGTCCACGACCATATTTTCACTACTTCACCCAAAGGTTGGCTAGCGAGAATTCTCTTGGGCACTAAGCCCACCTATGTATGTATTTTGAGCATAAAGTTGAAAAAAAAATAATTACTTCGACAAATCTATTTAATTTCATTGGAATCGATACACAATAATAGAAAGCTCAAAAAAAGATCGATTTGCTGCGGTATCCGCGTATCTAAGTATTACGAGCAAGCACATCACTAGTAATATCCCCGCGAACGCGGCAGTTAGGTAATAGGTACCGAGTTATTCCATTTAATCCCATTTTCATAAGAATACATCTACATCCGATGTTTTTACTAATGATTACTGATGCTGTTTCTGCGTTCACTTCACAATGCTTGTCGCGTTTAGTCTTCTGCAACGCAATGTATTGTTTCAACATTGCACTAGATAGTAATTTTCTGTGGATAGACAGCTATAGTAACTACGTACATAAATATTTATTCAAACAACGTGTAATATGTACCTATATGGACCTCTGAGTTCTTTATGGCATTTCTACTCAAAGTACTCAGATAGGAAATGCCGTCTTTATCTAGTTTTTTTTTACATAGGTATATTTGGCCGTGTAAAACTGTAGTGTCCTTCTATGCTATATCAGCAAACCATTTTTTTAAGACTGCCCAAAAATTAAACGTAAACTACACTAAACCCGCATCAGAACTTATGGCATCAATATCTATGTATGTATAATTAAGTTATTATGTATATCAACCTACAAACTCAACTGACCTTCACCTCGATACACAAAACCAATAGATACGGTATGCTAAAAATGTACCTAGCTAAGTAGCGAATCACTTTTTTGAGGGGAGAAATGACTTTTCTGCCTCTGGGTGGGGCGAGAGGGAGTGTCAGACTCTTACTGACTTTAAAACCCACGTTCCTTCTCCTGCTCCAAGGCCGGGTTCGTGGTACATTATAGCTCTTAAGTAAGTAACCCTTAACTCCAGAGCGTATACCTACCACCTTGCCTTATATTCCCCAAAATGTAGATAGAGGCAACATACTGAGTGTGGGAGATCCATCACATACTTCTACTACGACCACACAGAAAACCGGCGTGAAACAGCCAGAGCGTTGTGTTTCGCCATGTAAATGAAGTTACCGGAGGCCCAATCCTTCCCCTCCCCAATTGATAATCCCCAAAAGGTCGGCAACGCACTTGTAACTCTGTTGTTGCGGAGCACAGGGCAGCGCTGATTGCTTAGGTATCAGGTAATCCGTCAGCTCGTTTACCGACATATCACATTAAAAAACTAAAATCATATTAGATTTATAAAAGTCCAAAACAAAATTGGCCTCTAAAGAAGCGTCTCTTTCTAGATCTATATTAAAGATTTAAAGTACTTGTCGTGATTACCTACCTAGAAATTTGAAACCTGGCAAGTACCAATGTGACTTTTTCTGAGTTAAATGTAATTTATAACTTATTTAAACACTACTGGAATCAAAACACCGTGAGCAAACCTGAAGTTATAATTTCTGACTATCTCACTTCTTACTTACTAATATTATAAATGCACAAGCATAGTAGATACTACACGCTAAACACTCTGGATTAGGACATAGGCTACTTTTTATCAACATACCACGCGGGAGAAGTCGCAGGCGGAAGCTAGTATCATTATAATTTTAGATCGCCGGTCCGCTTTGAGCTAGCTAAGTGTTTAATTCTCAAACCTTCTCCGTGCGAAAAGGAGACTACTGATAAATCCATCCTTGCTTTTTTAATTTATAACTAGATTATCAAGAGACATGTAAACTACACGTAGGTACGTAACTGTTCGAGGTATCTCGACTGATTTCAAGAAGCAACGGAACTCATAAACATGTTCGCGACAAACGATATGAGCCGTTAATTCGAATTTATTACAAACATTGTTGTTGCAAAACATATTTTCTCAACAATAATCACAAGATTGTTCTTACATCTTCACACGGATGTAACTCATTGTCGATCCGTGGTATACACTCCCATTGTTATTATTCTCAGCTTATTAAAAATGCACAGCAAATTAATAAATAAATAAAAATTTGAGAATCTTCTGATACCGTATTATTGTTGTAAATATTGAGATTGAAATGAGTTATTGGATTACATAATAATTTCCGTGTGAAAAGAGGTTTTTTCTCAGCCAGTTTTTTTCGCCAGTTCTTCTATAAACCTTATTGCTTTGAGTATAAATATTTTTAAGATTTATTGTTCCGACATTTTAAAGCTAAATAAAAGATCTCTCTCTATTCTTCGACTAACCCTGACAATCAATGGTTGCAAGCACAAAGTATACCGCGGCCACGGCAGAAGCAGGAGAAGGAATGGAGAGGTTTTTAGTCAGTAAGAGTCTGACCAGTCTGACATCCCTCTCGCACCAGATTTGATGAGTTCCCAACCTAAAATAAAAAAAGAGTTGGATATCTGGAGCGATTACCACCTGCCGTCCACAACCAGTCAGCTAATAAGGCGCGAAACACACGGTGCGCCGGTGCAGTGTTTTTGACAATTTTTTATTAACAAACAAAGCGTATAAGGGCTATATTTTACCTTTTACGTAAGCCGCTAACGATAGTGCCGTCTAGGATTCACTTTTCTCTATTATATCTTTCGCTGTTAAATCGACAAGGCCCTAGCGTTTCGCGGTTACTTAAAATTGACATAAGTTACTAGGGTGGACAAGTTATCAGTAAAAATATTCATCTACCATCTTTATTTGTGGAAAATAACGACTTTCTTACGTGAATTAACTAAGAAAAGCTCTGCTAGTTTCAAGTCACAGCGGGACTCTTTATTCATGAGCAGCGGGCGACGTCGCGCTGCCAATTAGCCAATATCAAATGATATTATAAGTAAAAAGGTGAAGATAGGTTAGAAGCGTTTTCATATTTGTCTCTTTTTCACACGCGATTATTAAATCATGCCATCCCACTTTAACGTGTTTATTCAAGTGTGCATAAGTGTGCCGTTTTTGAAAATCGAATGTTGTTTATGTTACCTATCTATACCAACTTATAATATAATTGCCAACATCTACCATCTTATCGCAGTCCATAAGAAGGATTCAAACCGGCAAGAAAGGGGGTCAAAATAAAACAATAAAAGATCAATATAACATTTTATTTGTCGAATTATCTTGACAAAAATGTCACTATATTAAACTCCGATAAATAATCTTATTTACATAAATATACATTAGGGTTCTTAGATGAAACACCCACATCACAATGCGTTTGTGACTAGCTTCAGCACGCAACTTTGCTTGCTTTGTTAATTATATTATAACAAGATAATTTGCATTAAAAATAATAGTCTATATTTTCCTAAATCTGGATGTTAACCAGCATCAAATAGGCCCCGTACAGACTCAAAATATTATAATTTCTATTCATAGATAACAAACTAAGTTTGGGCAGCCATTTTGCTACAGATTACAAATTGGATTATTGATTATTTTTCTTGGCGGGAAAAATTTACAGTGTCAAATCTGAAGTAATAAACTTGAAAAGCATTTTCATTTTTATATTCAACTTAGAGAATTATTTAGTCTTGTATCTTTCTATGTAATACATATAATAAAGAAAATGAAAGCAATCATCTAAATTAATTCTCTGGAGCTTTAATGGTAGCAATATAATTTTACATTTCGGTATTATTTTGAACCCACATTGATTCCGATCGAGCTCGAAAACGGATGAAAACGAACGAACGAAAATTATTCTTTTTACATAGGCCCAAAATATTTGAACATTATTTATTTATTTTTTACCTGGCAAACTAATATTACAATAATACGTCGAGTATTTTGTCAATTCTGTAAATTAGTGTAAGAGCTATTTGTTCAAATTATATGTTTACTGTAAATACAAGCGTATTCATAAAGAAAATAAAGCTCATAATTGAACTTTTAACTCAAAGCAACAAGTTACATAGGAAAATAATTTTCGGTAAAGAAAACAAAACTATATTTTCTTTGTAACAAAAACTATTTTAGTATGTTTAGTAACTTGAATCAAAAATTCAACGTAACTCTGTTAGCAAGCTGTCTTAGTACAGATTTAGACAGTTATTGATAGCTTGCAAATATAATATGTCAATATTATTAAGCTCTAGCCATATTTTAAGGTTATATTTTTATTTTTATATGTTCAATGCGTTTAAAATAAGTTAAAATCACTTTCAAACTCGGGTTATTTTCAAACGTGATCTAAATAACATTTTTGTAAGAAAACCTATATTGTTTGAAGAATAGTGTAACGATGTTCTATTGAAGTAAACACAGTATAGGTCACAGACAATTTTTATTTTGTTTTTTGAGGGGGAAAGTTATCGAATGACTTCTCTCAGTGTGGGGCGAGAGGGACTGTAAGACTCTTACTGGCTATGTCGACCCCGTTCTTTCTCCTGCACCAAGAAGCGGTACTTTATCAGCTCTCTTGAGCCTCATCTGTGGAAGCTACTGTTTCACTGTTTCAAACATATTTTAAACGCATTGTAACTTTTTCACGACATTTCTATCCATTATAAATGCGGGCCAGTTTTCAACATTTTCAGTACATATCTGTT